TCCAACTGCATCTGGCAGGACTGCTCAGCGGCCACACTGAAAATCGGGGCATTTCACAGAAAATTCACTTTATAAACTGAGGGAGCTGGCACCCAGAAGGGTCCACTGGAGTCTCCTGCAGGGCCAGACCCGTTCCGGTAATACTTGACAGGCCCTGGAGCACAAGAGGCTTTGAACAAATCCTGCTCAGTAGATTCCCACAATCCCATATGTCACACAACGTCAGAGACACCCACTCCAGCTGCTTCTATGTGAGTGGTGGTGCCCCGACTCCCAAGGGGCACCTGGGCTAGCTCAGAGGGACACTTCATATAGACTGATAATTGTGCAAAAACAAGCCTTGGGTCAGGCGCTCTGATGGCACCAAGTGAAGAGAAGCCGGAGGAAGGGGAACAGAGGTCAGGGCATTTTTGATCTCCATAAAGAGACAATTTTTCCAGTGAACTGGGAGTAAGGAAGGGGGGCAAAAGAAAATGTGTGTTTATTGCCACTTGGTCGCTCAGAGGAACTTGGAGAAACTGAGGCAGAGGGCGAGCTGGGGGACTCCGCACGCTTCTGACTGCTAAGTTCCTCGGCAGGAGTGTGCACACGTCTCCTGGAGGCCACTGCTGCCCTCCCCGTGCCGCCCGTCCCGGGACGGTCCTCCCCGCCCGCCCTCCGACCCCTCGCGCCGCTGCGCGTGCCCGCTGGCCGCGTCCTGCTGCCCCGCCAGGCCCGGTGCTCACAGGCCCGGCCGCCCGCGCCCCGCTCACCCGTGAGGCCGCCGCCCTTGCCGTGGCCCCGGCGCCGCTGCAGCACAAAGAAGGGGTTGGCCCGCTCCGTCACCCACAGCGCGTTGGCCACCAGCACCTCCTCCGGCCCGAGCCACATCGCGCGGCCGCTCGCACCGGGCCAGAGCCCGCGAGGCGGAAGCGCGCGCCGCCGTCGCTGCGCCCGAGCCGAGCCGAGCGGAGCCGAGCCGAACGGCCGGGGCGGGGTCGTGATGCCGGCCCGGAGGATGGCTCCCCCTGGCGGCCGCGCTCGCTCACAGCGCCGCCCTCCTTGGCCTCCCCTGGCCTCTCAGTCCCGCCCAGCCCCGCCACCGCTGTCCAGTTTGTGGGGGATCACATGCTCTCGGCCGACTGTGCAGCCGTTAATGTTGCAAAGCGCGCCTGGGGAAGGGTTAGCAGCTCCTGATCAGCCTCGGAATTCTGACGCTTAAGTCTAAGGTTGGAATCCTCAAAAGCCCGGTTGTCAGGAAGCTCCGGAGGCAGTTGGTGTCCTTGGAAATAAGTGCCCCCACCCCATCTGACAGATGGATTGGGGTGGCCTTGAGGCTGGAATCACCGTTGGGTTCATTTTTGCATAAGCGGGCCATGCTATGGTCTAGGAGCGCGGAGCCCTGCTCTTCCCTCTCCTGGCCTGAAGGCGGCGATCACTCACAATGTAAATCCACCTTCAGATCCCAGCATTGGGCTCCGGCCACTGAACTATGGAGCAAAATTAGCGACTACAGGCTAGGTCAGCTAGAGCCGGCGAAGCAATTAGGAACAAGACAGTTTCTGACTCAAAGGGGCTCTGGCCTCCGCCTGGACAACAAGTGTGACCCATAGTTATTTTGGTCAAGGCTAAGGAGACAGCTGTATGAGGCGTCTCATGTCACCTGATGTAGCAGGAGGATGAAAAGAAGGAAGGGTAGACTCATTCTGGGAGGTTTGAGCTAGTTTCAAGGGTTTTCTTCGAAATCAGGTCTTAAATATTTCTGCATTTCAGGCCAACCTGCATCAGAAGCTTTGATGCCCCTGCCTCGATCATCTCCATTGCTAGGATTGCAGACATGCACCGCCCGGCCTGACTTACGTGCTGGGGATGTAACTGGAGACTTCATACATGCTAGGCAAGCACTCTCAACTGCGTCCTTAGCCCCTTGAGTTGGGTTCTGTCGCTGGCATTCAAGGGTCTTGGGTGTGGCAGATGGGTGACAGCCGGAGTGAATGAACTACAGTCTTCTGAAATGCACCCTGTGACTCAGTCAGCTTTCAAGATATGGAGACCGATTTTCCTTAAGACTCTGAAGCACAATGTACTCAGGTTTATCCCGACAGGGTACACAGCAGTCCGTCAGTCTGTTTGTCCATCCTATCACTACATGGGGGAGTGAGTGTGATAGCCATGTGTGAAAACTCATCGTCTTACACATACTAGATTTGTAGTCTATCATATCAGTGTGTTCTAATAATAGGAAAGTGGAGTTTTGGAAGCATAAACTGATGCCACTGTGCTCTCTGGAGAATTCTACACTCAAGAATCTGGAAGTCAGCCAGGCCTAGTGGCACACATCTTTACCCCAGGACTTGGGAGGCAGAGGCAGGTGTATCTCTGTGAATTTGAGACCAGCCTGGTCTTCATAGCAAGTTTTAGGACTTCCAGGGCTGCATAGAGAGATCCTGTCTCAAAAGAATAAAGGATAAAAAAAATAAAAAACAAGAGACAGGTGGATCTTTGTGAGTTCGAGGCCAGCCTGGTCTACAGAGCAAGATCCAGGAAAGGCACAAAGCTGCACAGAGAAACCCTGTCTCGAAAAAACTAAAATAAATAAATAAATAAATAAAATAATAAATAATAAAAATAAATAAATAAATAAAAACCAGAATTTGCAAGTAGAGGGTTGGAGAGATGGCTCAGCAAAAGATGGGAGTCCAGCTCCAGGGGATCTGATACCTTCTTCTGGCTGCTGACAGCAACAGCAACAGCAACAGCACACGCGCGCGCGCGCACACACCCACACACACCCCACTTTTGAGCATGTGTACTTGTGTGCATGCACACACACATAAATAAAAGTAAACCTATAAAAAAAATAATAGTAAAAAGAACTTGCAAGTACTTGAGGACCAGTGAGATGCCCGAGTTTGATCCCAGAACCCACATGGTAGGAGAGAAACAGCTCCTGCAAGTTGTCCTCCGACTTCCACATAAACAAACAAACAATAAATGCAATTGAGAAATAACATGGGAATACTTGTTACCATGGTACAGTGTAGTAAAGGGCTGTCTATCCTCATTTCAGAGGTTGTATGCTTTAGTATACTCGAGAGCCCAAAGACTGAAATGTCCATCAACTGACAGATAAACAATGTGGCGTAAACCTCCATGCAATATAAGCCACTGACACGAGATGACATGGATGGATCTTGGGCATGGCATTGCCTATGTCTCTGAAGATCCCACATGCTCCTGGGTGCTGCTGCTGACCCAGAGACCAATCTGTAAGGAGGCTATCCCTCTTTTTTGTTTTAGATTTTTCGAGACAGGGTTTCTCTGTGTAGCCCTGGCTGTCCTGGATCTCGCTCTGTAGACCAGGCTGGCCTCAAACTCACAGAGATCCACCTGCCTCTGCCTCCCAAGTGCTGGGATTAGAGGGGTGCGCCACCACACATGGCCCAGGACTATTCTTTATAAGGAAAATAATACTTATTGAGCACTTAATATATGCTACGAAATATAGGGGGAAAACCTACGTCTTTTTTCTATTTTCTGTGATTTTATATTCTATAAAATTTACCTCATGGATAAAATTGCAAAATTCAGGTTTTGATAGAGTCACATTGTTTAGCAGTCAGGAACATTGTCTAATTTCAGAACTTCTTCATCGTTCCGAACAGAAATCACAGTTACTTCCCATCTTTCTCTTCCTTAGCCCCTGGTAACCACCAATCTGCTTTTGCCTTCATGATCTTCCTATTCTGGATTTTTCATGTAAATGGAATAATCTGTCCCATTGTGTTTGGCTTGCTCACTATCACACGTCTAAGACCCACCCATGTCGTAGCATGTCAGTGACATTTTTTATGGCTGAGTATTGCATGGTTGGGATATGCCACCTTTTATCTTTCAGATCTTAATACTATTATCATCATAGGCACTGTGCATATCTTTTAAAAGATTTCTGCTTTGTGTGTGTCTGAGTATATGGCGTATTTACGTGCATGTCCCTATGTGTGTGGAAGCCAGAAGGGGGAACTGGGTCTTCTTCTCTATACTCACTACCTATTTCTTTGAGGCAGGGGCCTTTCCTTGATTTTGAGGCTTCTGTATTCTCAGCTAGGCTGGAAATCAGAAGTTCCATTGACCCTCTTGTCTCTGACCCCACAAACTGGGGATACAAGTGTGTTCAGTGTGCCTGTCTCGGTACATGAGGGTCTGTAATCTCCAATTCCTATGAGTAGCAAATGCTCTTACTGCTGATCCATCTCTCAGGCCCTGTGTACAAGTTTTGGATGAAAGTATTTTTAATTCTTTTGGGTATGATAAGAACCAATAAAATAATATTTTTAAGAGCCATACTTTCTCTTCCTTCCTTTTCTTTTTTCTTTTTCCTTTCTTGCTTTTTTTTTCTTCCTTTTTTTTTAAAGATATCCTCTCTCTGTGCAGCTCTGTCTATCCTGGGACTCCTTATGTAGACTAGGCTGGTCTTGAACTCACACAGATGCACCTGTCTCCACTTCCTGAGCTGGGAGTAAAGGTGTGTACCACTACACCCAACCTTGACTTTTTTTTATATTCAAAAAGTTTAGATTTTACTTTTTTGTTTTATGTGTATGGGTGTTTTGCCTGCGTGTATGTCTGTACACCATGTGTGTGCCTAGTACCTGTGGAGGCCAGAATAGGTAGTTGGGTCCCCTGAAACTGGACTTACAGATGTTGTAAGCCACCATGCGGGTGCTGTGAATTGAACCCGGGTCTTTGGGAGAAAAGGCAGCGCTCTTAACCACTGAGTTGTCTCTCCAGCCCTGGAGAGGCAGGCTTCTGAGCAACCATTGAACTCTTTTTCAAAGCAGCTGTAGCATTTGGTGTTCTTACAGTGTGTCAGAGTTCGTTTGTATGGTTTAGCCCCCGTCTAGCCATTTCTAGAGTGTGTGAGGTCATCGTGGTGTGGATTCTTTTCCTACCATGTTCTTTAGCCAGTCTGTGTTTTCTGTCACTTGCAACCCCTGAGAGTATTCCACATGACACAAACAGCTTTTTCCAATAGGTTTTTATTGAAACGATATTAGCAAATTCCACACATACAGGTGTACACTATTGGCATCGAGGTACATGCCAGACAATTTCACTACTTAATTATACTTACATCAACCATGTGGACCTAGGAATTGTGCTGCCCATTTCCAGGGGTTGACAGATCTGATTGTCAAGAAATCAGCTCACGTTGTATTTGCAGGTGTCTGTGTTCTTGACAGGGTAACCCCCTACAGTGAGTCCTGAATTAAGCTAACGAGCAATTTTGCTTCTTAAATCTTCGATGTGTGCTCTTTCTGGCACAAGCTGTCCACTGGTGAAAGAAATTCAAGTGCATAGTTTCCCTCTTACCCCTCAAGGCGCCCCACCTTGTCATCTGCTCTGGGTGTATTCCGAGCTTCCTCACCCCAAGTTACCTGTGCTAAGGTTAGAAAAATAGTTTTGTATGCCATCCTCTGAGATGTTGTGCATAGTCAGCAGAAACCCAGAATGAGTGGGGGCTCTTTGAATAACCCAGATACGAAAGGGGTGACGTCAGTATTTTCTATGAGTGTAAAAGCTACTGAGTTGAGAAAAGTGTGACACATGGGCCTAGGACTGAAACTGAGGCCTCTCCTTCTACAGGTGCAGCATATGACTACGAGACAGTGCTTTTCTCCACCCCACACCCACATCACCTCCCAGCGTGGACTCTTTTCTGTTTCTGTAAACAACACTGGTCCAGTTTCCTTGGAAGAGGTATGGCCACTCAAGAGTCCATCTCAGTCCCATGCTGGATGAAGATACCAGATTCTACTCCAAAGCACTAGCCAAGAGAGCTGTATTCTAACTGGGTCAGCAAGCCAGCCAGGGCTGCCAGGAAGATGGCATGTGTCATTGTGGCTACCCCCAAAAGGTCTAGGCATGGGAGCCGGCCATATCTAGTAACTGAGACATAAAGCATGGGTGGCAGTTGGCAGATGTAGCTTGCTTACCTGAAGGGAAAAATATGGCTTGGGATGTCACATTTTACCCAACCCTTCTACATTTTTTAGAACAATATTTTGGTTCAATGCCTTCCAGTCATTAGAAAAGTCCTTTAATATCATAATGTAAATACATTTAGACTTATTTGTAGATGAAGGGTAATTCCAAAAGCAGGTTAGAATTCAAGTTCTGTTGGGTTAAATTTGTAAAAATGTAGCTTAGTACAATGTTAACTGTTGCCAGTGGCTGGAAAGAGGTGTGTAGAAACAGGTGAGGGTCGCTGACAGGAAGAGGTGATCTGATGAAAGGCCACAGCAGGCTTGCTGGTGGCCAACATGTCCCTTTCCCAGGCATACACCTGACCAGCAAGTGGAGTTGAGGGGACTGGAGAGACATGAGTCACATCAGCATCAAATGTTCCAGGGATGCTGGGAGGTGAGGGGCTGGGGAGTCCACTACAGGGGGGAGGTGGGCAGCTTGGCAGACCCACCTTTAATCAGGAGGGGAATGAGGGCAGTTTGTAAAAGCGCTAACTGCTGAGTGAGGGCTCCATCTTCAGCTCCAGCCATCACCAATGCTTCTGAGAAAGATCACTCTTTTAGGCTGTGAAGTGGGGTCCGGGCCACCTCGCTCCTGTCTTAAAGAGTCAATAGGAGGAAAGTGAGTGATCCTGGGGCAGAGGCCCTAGTTACTCTGGCGGCAATGAATCCACCTTAAAGTTCAATACTTGGGTTGCACAAAGTTCAAAGGCTATTCTGCCTTTTGCCATACGTTTCTTCTTTTTTCCCAAGTCAGAGTGAAGAAAGCAGGGAAAAAAAAAGTGTAACCTATGGAGTGGAGGGCTGCAGGAGGGTAATCAGGGACAGGCAGCCTCCACAGGGCCTCTTTAGAGCTCCAAGAACCATGTGTGTAATGCAGAAATGTCACCCTTCTAGCAGCTGAGGCTGATAGCCCCCTCTGCCTCTACAGTCACTGTAGGCTGGTGGAGTCACAGCTCTGGAAGACACGAGTGACTGCTTTTATTCCAGGCCTGCTAGGGCCCACCTGGCCTGTCTTCCTCAAAGGTCAGTTTTCTGGGGTCACTGATAAAGAAGAGTGGGACCTATCAATCCTGCCAGAGCCCCGAAGGAGGTCCTTGGCTACAAGGACCTCCTGACCACTAACTTCAGCCCCTGCCACCCAGGCTCCACGAGGCTGGTGTGACTTGTAAATACTGTGATCTGCAAAGGGCCAAGGGGCCAGCCAGTCAGAGGCAAGGAGTCTGCCAGAGCAGCTGTCCATTAGCTTTGCTTCTCCTGCTGTTTGCAGATACACTCAGGCAAACAGAGTCCTGTGCTACAGACACAGGCATCTTAGTGCCCGCCACTCCTGCTCCTTTTCTGACGTCACAGTACTTACAGCCTGTAAGGCATTTTTCCAGTCTGGCAGTGACCTCAACCACATCCAAGCATCTTATATACTCCTCCTTTTCCAGACAAGTTAACTGGGGGCTGTGCCAAAGTTTTTGAATGATGTACCCACAGGGCCCGAACAAGGCAGAATGCTATGCACTTTTTTTTTTTTTTTTTGGTTTTTCGAGACAGGGTTTCTCTGTGTAGTTTTGGTGCCTCCTGGATCTCACTTTGTAGCCCAGGCTGGCCTCGAACTCACAGAGATCTGCCTGGCTCTGCCTCCTGAGTGCTGGGATCAAAGGCATGCGCCACTGCCGACTGGCCCCATGCACTTCTGTAAGCACTGCCCTCATCTGGATCTGGGCAGAAGGCACTTGTTTTAAGCTGTGGTGTCAGGACAGTTGCCCTGTGATAATGACTCCCTCCTACCTCCTCTCCAAGGGGCCATGTTAGAGTTTAAGCGCACAGACCTCCCATTCTGTTCACTGGAGAAGGAGGGCTGGCAGGCCCACCTTTCCTGAATGGGGCAATTACTCACACTCATTTTTCTACATTAGTGTCTCCAGTAGCTTCTTCTGTTTGCTATCCCTACCAATCAACGCTCCCTAGCCCAGTTTCTCTCCGGCTGACACCATCATTGGTATTAAGGGCTCACCTCTGCCAGGGTGAGCATATGTGCCTAGTACACAAACCTCTGCACAGGGTGGCAGAGGGGAAGAAACAGCGCCTCCCAGGGACTGTGATCACGTAGAGACCACATCAGGGCTGGGTTTTATGGGCTCTTTTGGACCCAACCAACATTCACCCAATCACTGAGATTAGAAATCTGGCTTCCAGGATGGGTGGTGGCAGTGCACACACCTTTAGTCCCAGCACTCAGAAGGCAGAGGCAGGTGGATCTACGTGAGTTAGAGGCCAGCCTAGTGTACAGAGCAAGTTCTAAGACAGCCACAGCTACACAAAGAAACTCTGTGGGGGGGGGGGTGCGGGAATAGGAAGGAAGGAAATAAACAATAAATAAATAAATAAATCTGACTCCCACTTCTATCTCACAGGCCCCTTGTTTAGTCAGCTCAGTCTGGGGTCCCTTGGTTCTAAGCCAAGTGCTAGCATGTCAGCCCCCTACAGGGCCTGCCTACACAGCCTACTGCTCACAGTGTTCTTTTTCCAAGTAAAGTTCTGGAGCTTCCCCTGCCCCACAAGGGGAGCTGCTGCAACCCAAGGCCCCTGCCTGACTCCTGGTCCTCCTCAGGGCCCTTCCCCTACTCAGCAGGCACGCCCGCCCTCCACCTGTGCTCTGGGAACTGTCTCCTAAAGACCCACCTCATTTCATGGCTCTCACTCTGCGGACTGTTGCCAGCATGCCAGTTAGCAGGACAGCAGATATGCTCAAGCGCTGAGGTGTCAGACCACTGAGATGCACCGTCACCCTCCAAGTCTTCATGACTACCAATCCATCTTAACTCCAAGTGCACGAGTCAGGTACACAATAAGAACTTTATAAAAAGTCTGTCAACAGCCTGGGCCTAGTGGCAAAAACCTTTAAACCCTGCACTCAGGAGGCTGGAGGATCTCTGAGTTCAAGGCCATCTTGATCGACAGAGTGAGTTCCAGGACAGCCAGGGCTACACAGAGAAACCCTGTCTCAAAACAAACCATTGACAAAACTAACTCCATGATCCTGGTCTTAAATTTGGCAGCTTCCTTTCTTGACATTTATGAGCAGTGATCCCTTGTCGGGAGGACCCCTGATGTAAAATCATAGTCTTGTGTTCTTGTAGCAAACAAGGTCCCCTACAGCAAAAGGGCATGTGGATTTTTCCTCAATTCGGTGTCATTTAGCACATAGATCAGTGAAAGTGTGCCTGCCGGCGAGGGGTGTAAAACTGGGAAGACTTATAAAGTCCGTAGGATGCACCAATTAATAAGATTCAGTAATCTTTTGCTTAATGCCTTTCTGACCACGTCTTTTGGCATCTGGGGCTGTCACGCATCAGGGCAGTTGGGAAGTAGAGACTCAGCTACCGGACGGACTGGCGTTCAGGGACGTGCCTTGTAGATGTTCCAGTGAGGGAATGACAAGAGGGGCCAGGAGCTGGAGCCTGACTCAAAAACAAGGCGTGGGGGCCTTGGAGAGAGTTTTAAACTGTTGGTGGTAGAGCCTGTTTTCCTAGGAGGGGAGCAAAGGTAAGACCCTGGATGGACACACTCATTACTTCCAGAGACCCTCCGGAGGCTTCACACCTGGACATCCAGCCAGTCAGCTCTCCTTTCTCCTGGAAGTGACTGGCCCAGAGTGCCTCCTCCACAGGGAGCTAGGCATCTCGAAAGCTTAAGCCTTTGTGTTCACGCTGCTGCAGTCCACAGTTAAGGCTGCCTGTGGCTGTAGATCCTGCTGGGTGTGTCTTCTGTGGCGTGTGTGGTAATGGTTCTGCACCTAGCTCCACCTGGAGACCTGGGTGGCTTCACGGGAGTCCCCTCATCACAGCTGCTGGCAGGAAGCCGTTATCTTCTGTCCTCCCAAAGCACATGCCCTCAACAAAGAAGCCAGTCCCCTCCTGATGAACACAGGACATTCTGGAGTTTTCAGGAAAAGGGGTCAACCTGGTGTCTGGAGCACTATTCTGAGTAAATTCCCTCCTAAGGACTGCCTCCTTGAATGTCCTATAGCGAACACATGCCCTGATTTCCCAGGGATTCAAACACTGTCTCAGTCGAATTTTAGAAGACTCAATTTAAATATTTTTCCCCCCAAGCAGTTCCTCTCCTTTCCTTTTTTTTTTTTTTTTCGTAAAGAAATTGTCTAGAGTGGAATTTAATATATTTGCCTTTATAAGACTGTTGAGACCTGAAGAAAATGATTCACTGGGATCTGAGTTTTGGTTATGGAGAAGACAAGGCTAGGCTACGGACAACATGACAATTACAGCATCTGCCTCGTCTGCCACACCAAACCCTTCCGCCCGGGCCTCTGGACCTCGGCAGTCTACTCTCCTGTTGAGAATGCTCTCACTGAGAACCTGTCTTTCAGAATGGCAATCTCCTGAAACTTTATCAAAAATATTTTTATAGTACAAAGACTATAAAAAGGAAAGACAAAAGCCCTTGGTAAGCAGTGAAGAGTGGAAGCAATTAGGACCTTAGAGGTCGGCCCTGCTCCAGCCTCAAATTACTCAAGCGAAGTATGTGGGCTCCCCCTGCGACCAGGTTCTTACAGGCGGTCAGCACTAAGGGTCTCTGAGGGCACCTGAGGGATCTTAGTGACACATGTTACAAGATGCTGTGAGACAGAAGCAGCCACGTGTGTGAAGATGGCACACACATGCCTCAAACCTACGACCCACAGAGCCAATAACAGTGACAGGATGGGAGCCTCCCCACCTGCCTGTGCGTCACACACGTGTCTGGATGCTGGAGCTGCATTCTCCTAACCAGGATCTGACCATCTTCACAGCTCTGTGAGAAGCAGGCCGACTGTGGCATGAACTTCTGTAGAAAGGAGGTGACTTGCTCATCCTGGTCCCATACTGTAGGCCGTACGTTTCTCATATGTTAGTTAACTTGATGTCATTCTGGATGTGTGGGATGAGCACATATGTCCCCAGTGTCCACCATGCTGGCCACAGCATCCTCTTCTCAAAGTCTGGCGGCCAGCACTCCAGTGTTTCTTCATGTTGGTGCTGATGCTGGCAGGATAGCACTGGACTAGACAATCAAGATGGAAGAGGGGTCCCCCATTTGGTATTTCATAGGATGTTGGTTTGCACTTCCCAATAAAACATTCAAAACTATTCTGGTGTTGATGACTGTTAACCTTGTCCCGTGTGGTCATCGTGCTAGGCTCCTGGTGCCATCTCCCCATATACACCACAGGCAGTGGGGACAGATGCCTTCCATGTCTAGTGTCTGTGTAAATACTTGTCATCCTATGTCGTGCTCATCACAGATGCTGGAAAGTGATGACTGTCTGATCCTGTGAGAGCTGACTCTGGCCCCGTGGCCTGTGTCCTCCAAGCTCTGGAGGAAAACAGGCTGTCCGAGTCTAGAGGGTGAAAGGAAGATGAATCTTCTCTTGGAGGACTCCCTACAGGAAGAGGCCTTTTACCGGGAAATACAGTAAGAGACAGAGGACAAAGTGAAGCGGGTCCAAGACTCATATTCTGCATCGGTGGGACATTTTATCTGCAGGCTTTCATGTGCATGTGAGGACCACAAATGTATTTTACAAAACCCCAATGCCACCCTGACACAGAACAGCGTGCGACTATTTGGGGACACGGACACATTTGCAACAAACGCCTCATTAGCTCCTGGCCCCATCTCTTCTCTGGAAACGGCAAGGGTCATGGGGTGCCCATGCTCAGTGGTTGGCTCTGGGTGGGTAGTCAGTACCATGAGGCTCATCTGGGCAATAATGCTGTCCTCAAACCTCACCTTGGGGGAACTCTGCAATTTAACTCTGAACCCCAACTTGCACCCAGAGGTACTGCCATTCTTCCAAAACGGACGATGACAGAAAAATACAAAAGAAAGGTGACCATAAATTAAATCTCAAAAGGAGAGACCCCCAGCAGCCCATTTAAAAAACAATCAGGTTTTGTTCTCATCATACATGTCCAAGGATGGTTCGATGGTGGAGAATTCACTTTCGTACACCAGGCTGCGAGGTGACAGGGAGTTCCGGCGAAAGAAGCGCCCACCTGAAGAAGGAACAAGAAAGACATACTCAGTGTGGCCTTTAGCCCGGGTCCCGTCGGACGTTGGAGGGTGTTCATCAGCTTTGAAACCCTGCACTTCCACAAGTGTCTCCTTCAGTGTGGCCTCTTATCACTAGATGGAAATAACGTAGACATTATGTTTCTCACTGCTGGGGCTGGCACCCGGGGCCTCTAACATGCTGAAGGAGCCCTGCACCAGAGCTGCCTTTACTTATACCTTGTAAGCATGACTGACTTGTCTGTTGTTTTTTGAAACAGGGTTTCATGTAGGCATGACTGGCCTTGAACTCACTATGGCTGGAGATGTCATTGAATCTGTGATCCTCCTGACTCCATTTTCTGAGTCCTGGGATTACAAGCATGTATTACGTGTCTAGTTTATGAGAATCGGGGGAATCAAACCCAGGGCCTTGTGCACACCAGGCAAGCACTCTTCCGACTGAGCCATTTCCCCAGCCCTTTGTAGGCATGTTTTAAATATGCACATTTCCAGGGCTAGAGAGATGGCTTAATAGTTAAGAACACTTACTGCTCTGGCAGAGATTTGGAGTTCAGTTTTCATCTGTAACTCCAATTCCAAGGGACCCGACATCCCCTTATGGCCTCCATGGGCATTACACACACGTAGTTAGTACACGCACATATATGCAGACACTTATACACATAAAATAAAAATAAGTAAATCTAAAAAACCTCCCCAAATACGTACATCCTTCTGTTAGGCTCCCCAGAGGCTGTCACTGTAGGTCTTCAGAGCAAAAGCTACCTGGTGCTCTTGGAAGGATTCTATTGACCAACCTGAAGACTTCTGAGTGACACAATCATAGGAAGAAATCCTGTCCCTCTCTGAACCTCTGTCCTAGACTGGCCTGCAGGGATGAGTGCACAGAAGCACTCCAGCAGCTGGGGAAACCTGGGAATTCTGGGTGTCGAGTGTCGAGGATCCTAATAACAAATTTAACAGTTTGGGACTAGAGCGAGAGTAAAGGCTTGCTACCAAGCCTGATGATGTGAGTTTGATCCCCAGGACCCACATGGTAGAAGCATAAAACTGACTCCTGCAAGCTGTCCTCACAGAACTCTATACGGCAGGCATGAACACAAACACAAATGGAAGAAAACAATTTTTAAAATTAAAGTTTTAATTTAGGGCTCAACAGGCAAAAGATGCTCCAGAGCATAAGGACCTGAGTTCCACGTCCATAATCCACATAGAAAAGCTGAGTGTAACCCCAACTCTGGGAAGGCAGAGACAAGCAGACCCAGGAGCTCCCTGGCCAGACAGTCACGTCTAAGAATTGGGCTTCAGGTCAAAGGAGAGACCCTGTCTCAAACAAGGTAGATGACTAAGAAACAACACCCACAGCTGACCTTTGGCCTCCTCATACACACTCTTACACATCTACCCACACAAATGTGCAACCACCCACACAAATGAAAAAGCTTTAATTAATATTAAAGCTACACCTTCACATGGTTTGGTAAATTATTAATTAAATATAATGTGTTTTTTTGGGGGGGCAGGGGAGGGAGTATACAGTATATCTTTATGTAGCATAGCCATATTGGCCTTGAACATTAACTTTATTTTACACATATGAGTGTTTGCTTGCACGATCCCCCAAAACTGGAGGAGTTACAGACAGTTATGAGTTACCACATGGATGCTGGGAACCAAGCTGAGATCCTCAGTAAGAGCAGCAAATTCTCTTAACTGCTGAGCCATCTCTCTAGTCCCTGAACTTACAATCATCTTGCCTCTATTTCCCAAGTGCTGGGATTGTAGGCCTGGGGTTCCAACTGGTCTTATGTGGGACCCTCTCCCCACCCCATACCAGGGATTGAACCTAGAGTTTTTTTGTTTGTTTGTTTGTTTTTCCCGAGACAGGGTTTCTCTGTGTAGTTTTGGTGCCTGTCCTGGATCTCGATCTGTAGACCAGGCTGGCCTCAAACTCACAGAGATGCGCCTGGCTCTGCCTCCCGAGTGCTGGCATCAAAGGCGTGTGCCACCTGGCTGAGAACAACAACTTTCAGGAGTAGACCCATGTGGGTTCCAGGGACTGAAATCCAGGTCATCAGGCTTGATCCCACCAGCCCAAAGGTACCAATTTTGAGCCTCATATTTTTTCATTCTTAGACTTTATATTCAATTTCCACTGCGGAACATTAGGACATTTTTTCCTATTTCTAGCCCCTCCCTCTCCCCATAAACATTGTACCGAGTAATTACTGTTGTTATTATTATTAATTATTACTATTATTATTTTGGTTTTTCGAGACAGGTTTCTCTGTGTATTGCTCTGGTTTTCCTCGAACTCACAGAGATCCACCTGCCTCTGCCTCCCGAGTGCTGGGATTAAAGACGTGCTCTACCACCACCCCATCCCAACTAGTTATTTTTTGATAATTTAATACATTCAGTGCTTGTACTATTTGACTGCTTGTCACCAAGCCACACTCCTGTTTTCTTTTCTGCAGGGCCCTGTTTTGTTGCTGTGACTTTATGGAGGTAGCAGGGAAATAAAGGAGAATGAACGTGATTAAAACGTACAACTTCAGGAGGTCTTACAGGGGCTAGAGAGATGGCTCAGTGGTCAGGAGGGCGCCGCCACACAGTCATGAGGACCAGAGTTTCAATCCCAGCACCCATGTAACAAGCCAGGCTTTCCATAAACACCCATAGCTCCAGGTCTGAGGGATCGGAGGCTCTCGTCTGGCCTCTGCATCTGCACAGACATGCACACCAGCACACATTTGTGTGTGCTCTCTCACACACAAGCAGATAAATCTAGAAGACAAAGATTTTAGGCATATGCCTACCAACCATAAACATGAACATACCCAACACCTGCCTAAATGTTCTGTGCTCTCCGCTGCTGAAGAAGCAGAGGCCAGGGCACTGCAAGTTCAAGGCCTCCCTGGGGAACTTAGCCGGGCCTGTCTCCACGAAAAGAAGGACTGGCATAAATCCTAGTAATAGAGCCTTCACATAAAACTCTAGGTTCAACCCCTGGTATGAGGTGGGGAGAGGGTCCCACATAAGACCAGCGGGAACCCCAGGCCTAGAATCCCAGCACTTGGGAAATAGAGGCGAGATGATTGTAAGTTCAGGGGCTGAAGGGATGGCTCAGCAGTTAAGAGAAAATTTCCTAAAATCTTTTAGTAATCCCTTCCTCTCTTCCCATCTTATTCCTATCACCATGGAAACAGTTTATCTTGCATCTTTCTAGAATGTTGAATCATTGAAAGCTGTTATGAACATTCACATACAAGCTCTGCATGAATCCGTGATTTCATTATCTCTTGGGTTAAATACCCAGGAGTGGACTGTCTAGCTAGATTTAGGCTTAACTCTGTAAGGGCTCCCAGGTTGTTTTATGGAAACAGCTGTGCTGTTTTATAGTCCTTGGCACAGTGGGTGAAAATCCCAGTTCCTCTGGTCAATGATGCATCAATTTTTTTTTTTTTTTTTGAGACAGGGTTTCTCTGTGTAGCCCTGGCTGTCCTGGAACTTGCTTTGTAGACCAGGCTGGCTCTAACTCACAGAGATCCCCTGCCTCTGCCTCCCAAGTGCTGGGATCAAAGGTGTGCACCACCACCGCCCAGTAATGCTGGAATTACAGGTGTGCACCACCCCACCCAGCTCTCCTCTTATTTTTTAAGATTGTTTCCATTTTATGTGTATGAGTGTTTTGCCTGTATGTATGTGTGTGTATCATGTATGTGCCTGGGATCCACAGAGATCAGACGAAGTCATTGGATTCCCTGGTATTGGAGTTACAGATAGTTGTGAGCCACCATGTGGGTACTAGGAACGGAACCTGGGTCCTCTCTGAGAGCAGCAAGTGCTCTTAACTGCTGAGTCATCTTTCTAGGCTCTCTCCTTACAGCTTTAACTTGTCCTTTGCTGGCGATTAACGATGCTGGGCATCTTTTCATGTGTGTATCAGCAACTCTCTTTCTTTTTGAGGGGTAGGTTTTGGGGCTGGAGCCTGAAGCACTGTGCACATTAGACCAGCGCTCCCCCATGGAGCCACTCCTCAGATCCCCTTCTTCTGACAGTGCAGCCTTGGCTGTCCTGGAACTTGTTACATAGCCCAGGCTGGCCTCAGACTCCCTGAGATCCACCTGCCTCTGCCTCTGCCGGGATGAAAGGCGTGCTCGGCCACCGCCCGCCCGGCTAGTCCTGGAGTTCTTTAGAGGCTTGCCACTTGCTTTCGTTTTCTGAGTCATAAAAAAATTTGAGATCCAAGCTCTTTGTCAAAAATGTTTTGAAAATACTTCGTCAAAAGAGGCTTTTCATTTTAATAACAATGATTTTTGAAGAGCAAGCTCCAAATTTTGGTAAAATTCAATTTATTGACTTTCCCTTTCACAGCCTGCACTTTTGTGTCAGTTTAAGGGAACTGCACCAGTTCCGAGGTTGTTGAGAGTCTTCCCCTGTGACGTCATCCACAAGTTCAGCGTTTGCTTATGTCTGAATTGGTAGGAATTAAGGGCTGGTGTTCCATTTTATGCACACAGCCACTGGACTGCTGAGATGCCTCAGCAGTTTGGAGCACGGTGGTTACAATCTCCTGTATCTTCAGCTTCAGAGATCTGATGCCCTCTTCTGGCCTCTTGGGGCACCACATGCACATGGTGCAAAGACAGAAGCAGGCAAAATACCCATCCACAAACAATAAAAAGAAAAAACAATCTGCATCTTAAAACCCAGGGCAATTCAAAGATGCTTACTTACTGTCTGTACAAAGTGGCTCCCGAGAGTCAGGTCCCAATAAAAAATTGGTTGTTTGTTTTCTAACCTCTCCATCTTGGTTTCCAGTTCAACCTGCACAGTACTAGTCTAACGTGTTTTTTTATTTTTTGTTTTTTGGTTTTTCGAGACAGGGTTTCTCTGTGTAGTTTTGCGCCTTTCCTGGAACTCACTCTGTAGTCCAGGCTGGCCTCGAACTCACAGAGATCCGCCTGGCTCTGCCTCC